TTATATCAAATATAAGATAATAAAAATGAGATGCACAATGAATACCTAAACAGTAAATAATGAACGCCCGCTTGGCTGCTACCATAGTCACATTCAAACTAAGACAATACGCGTCAAGCAAAATTCTTGGTGGTTTATCCACGTATTCGGGAAGAATACCTCCCCCCTTGGCGGATTCATAACTTGACTTGACTGTACCTACACGTTATAGTCATGCAATTAGACAGGGGCCAGATTAGCGGGGGTCCACTGTATTACTTTTATGTATTAAGTTGGTTACATGTATCTATGGGCTGCAGAAGCTATTTAGTAATCAGGCAATTGTCACTCTGATTTAATTTAATAAAACATTTTATAATGAAACTAATTTTGAGACATCCAAACCCAAAGCAAACAATTGTAAGACTTCATGATATTGTAATCTGCGTAGATTAGGCCAAAAATTACTTTTTAAAAGCTTGGTTAGCCTGAGATAATTATAAAATCAGGACATCAAACACCTCAGTTGCCTCAACTCCGTGATTATGATATGCTTTGTAGCACCCAGAAAGTCAGGAAATCGAAATATGTCAAATTAAACGTGACAAAATCCTTAAAATTAGTTTTATTTGCTGTATAGTATTTGCGTATAAGAAATTATTACTTGCTACATTTACGTAATTTCGAGAGCTTAGCTTTTGTTTTGAAGATTTTCTTTCTTCTTTATTCGCATTTTTTACCCACTACCAGTATACAAGCACAATGTCTAGCACTGCCCATATTAGGAATGTGCCAAATGGGATGCCTTGAAAGATCTGACTATGCTAACCAACCAGGATAAGCCTAATGCAACTTGTCGTCATATTTTGTCTGTGCGAGATATTATGGGATTTTTATTTTAGAGTAAATGTACATGTTTAATATAACAAAAAATAAGTCGAATAAGTTATTTGCTTTTGTATTACATCACAATTAAAATAGTTTTAAGTAAAAAATCATATATATTTACAAAATTAAAATTATATTATTTAAGTAATTATATTTTTATTATATTCGATGCTTATAAATTTTGAACAGTATAAGCCGCGTTTCAAATATTAATGAATGTATAAAATATTCATTATTATAAAACGAAATGTTTGTACAAAAACATTTCGTTTTATAATAATGAATATTTATTTAATACTGTCAAACTGAAAAGGATCTTATGTTTATTTGGTTTTAGTGTGTACTAAAAAAGAAAAATGAACCTTTTGTTAAATAACAGTTCTTTTATTCCCTTTTAATATGCTCTTTATAATTATTTAAAAATTGTGAGGTAGTAAGTAATGTTATTCCCCTTCTGCGTATATACTCGTACCATAACTGTAAAACGGGCTAGTCTTCTGGTATAGTTAGTTTTCCTTACAATAGATAAGGCCGTTGTCCAGAAGTAGGTCTTACTGGCTGATGATGAAAAAATAGAAATGGAAACCTTGCCAGACAGTCTTCACGAAAGAGTATTTTGTTATCAAATAAGTTTTTATATTTGTGAAGGATCGTAACAAAAAACGAAACGTTCCTTATACGTAGGAACTATGTGTAATTCACGCGCTTAATTTACATCATGTGCTACATAGGAGTAATAAAGAAGACCGAATAAATCTATACCAAAACCACATAATTGAGACACAAACTTTACTAAAACTGAGTGCAGTATTGCTGACTATTTATGAGGACATTTCTAAATTCCCATATCAACATTCAGCCTCTGCAAATCCACAAATGGACATAGACTTTTTAAAAAATATTATATGCCATATGCATATAAGCAAATTTACTTTAGGTCAAGCTCACCACATGAATTCTATCAAATTATAATTTCATATAAATTAACAGCTTGATACTTTGAAAAGTAAATGAGGAATGTTACGCCACCTATCTTACGTTATTTACGTACAGAACCGAAAATTTCTTAGAAACTATCTACAGATGGTATATAAATATATACATTTTCGGTTTTGTGACTTGTTTTGTTGATATAATCTCCTTTTTAACACGCTTTTATTACCTTGGTATGTATCTATGTATCTATGTAACGAAATTTTTTAATTTGATTTTCATCTCCTTCAAAACGTGGGATTGATTTGAAACTTTGCACACTTGAAAAGAACCGATGACAATGCAATAATTTAAATAGTCTACCCCATTATCCTTGCCAGGATCCTCGGGATTTGCGAATAATTCATAAAACAATTACGATGTCTGCCAATTCACTGTAAGCCGCGTAAAAGAACTTCGTTCTAAAAAAAAACACGCTTTTATAGTTAGCCACACTAAAACATAGAAAATAAATAATAGTTTAAAAAACTAAAAAAACGCTTTTGTAAATAACGGAACTTAAATTAGAAAATAATTTTCAAGAAGTTTAAAATAAGAATAGTTAGAACAAGAACAAGAATAGTTATTAACATAAAAATATCATTTTATTGTACAAATGCGTGTGGTGCTTGATAGTATCGTTTGTTGTAAATACTTTTGTGGATATTTGTAAAATTAGCGTCATCATAAAAATATATGAAAAAGCACTTCACGCTCTCTTTGGAATAAAATATATTTTTTATGTTAATCACTTTTTTCTTATTTTAAACTTATTGAAAATTATTTAATAATTTTAGTTCGGTTATTTACAAACGTGTTTTTTATTTTTTTACATTATCATTTATTTCAATAATCTTTTGTTATACCAAGTGGCAAGTATGTTTTATTTGATTAAAATTGAACTGTGCTACTGTGCTGTACGTTATTTTTTACTGGTACAATGTCAATTCTTAATTCAACGTAGTCTATTTCCAACATTATTATCCTACCCTAAGTAAAAATAAAGTAAAGGTACACTATCCTTCGTAATGAATTTGATAACGAACTATTGCTAATAAAGCGGCTGATTCCGTCGCCTTATATATTTGTATCTACACGACGGAGAACGGGCTGCATGACATTGGAGTTGGACACTCCACCCACTTTTCGCCGAAGGTCGCAATCGGATCTGGCGGCACCTCTCGAATTGTTATTTAAAAGTTTTTTTTTGTATAAGGCTCTACTTGTGAGCGTTTACTATATATCAAAACCGAAGTCTATGGAATTTGATATTTATAGGAAGCGCTTAAACCATTATTGTTATACATACATACATATCATCACCATCTAAATCGACTGCTGAACATTGTCCTCCCCTAAGAAACGCGACGAAGCTTGATGGTGATTCTGAGCCACCGGCATCCATCGACTTCCTGCATCTCTTACCAGGTCGTCATTGCGTCAAGTGGTCTTCCGTCTTTTCATAATATATAACTTACATACATAATTATGATAAAATAAATCTTACCATTACTAAATAATTACATTCACTAATTAAATTCCACATAGAAATCAATACGAAATGATCCGTGTAAGCCACGAATGTTCTAGAGTCTAGACGAACATTCGTAGCACAAGTAGTGTGTTACACAAGTTTTATAATAACTTGTGTAACACATTAGTAAACTCTTTCAGGGGTAACAAATATATTTTTAGGGCTCCTGTTTATGACTGAACTGGATTAAAAGGTATGTAAGATTTGGTTTTACTTATACATTAAGTGGGATATTATTTAATAATGTAATTGAACTTCGCCTCCACCTCCGCAAAATGTGTAACTTCTGCAACTACCTTTGTCTCCGCATCCGTCTCCGCAAACTTTAAACGGAGTTGTGTAGGAGGTTAGTCGACTGTAGAGCTAGCGAAACGCATCGAAATAAGTGCGGTAGGAATGTGGGTAGCCAAATATAATCTGCCTTTTCTAAGTTTTGATTACTTAAAATAAAGTTATTTCCTTTATATGAGTACGTTAAATTTTTCAAGGTTCTTCAAAGGCCAAATCATTCGTTCACGACTTAAAATGGTCAGACGACATCAAGGGGACTAGATTAAGCTTTATGAAACTCAAAACCACGGCGTGGGATTCCAAAAACCTATGCCAACAGACATTCATATTTCAATAACGTTTTTATTTTAATTTATTTGACAAGCGAACTAACAGTCCTCCATAGGAAATTACTACTGCATCTCACGGACACCAATATGGACAAAAAAAGAAACAAAGAAGACAGCGGTGACAACGCATCATGTAATGCATTGTCACCACAAGTAATAAGACGGCATGCCTCTCAGCTTGTAAATATACTGGTTCTTTATAAGACCGAAACACACACCGCTATTTGAAGGTAGAACTACAATGAGGGTGCTACATACCCAGACAAAAGTACCAAAGAAAAGGAGTCCTGCGACCTGTTTAACGATAAATATAAGTAAATAATATGAGCAGTGGATCCCTAATTTACTCGTTTCGCAACACACATTAGACAAAATGTAATATACTTGTAGCAATATTAATTATATCAATTTGTAATTGCAACAATCATACAAGCGTCCAGTGCAAAGCATAAGAAACGGGCTTCGTTATGAGTTATTGTTCGAAATAAAAATAAAATCATATAGTTATTAAATATTGTTATAGAGTTTTTTTTTGTTTCTTCCCTTAGTAGATAACTGTACTCTTTCTTTATTTTTCATTTTAATATGCACGTTAACTTTTGGATATAAAATATTATAAAATACTTTCAGCTAGCTACAATTATTTTGATCTTGACCGTTTAAGGTCCTAGACCTTAAACGGTACTTTGACGTGTACGTGACAATTAAGACATATGCTACATCATCATCACCATCAACATTACAGTCCTTCACAAGTCCACTGCTGAACATACGCCTCCCCGAAGGAATGCCACAAAACACGGTATCCTACATACAACGGGAAAATTTTATGTCCAGTGGACTTTTATGGAACGACGAAAAAATACGGCATTACCAATGTCACCAACTACGATTACTATACTACATTACAAGTTCTAAGATAAAATGTACTCAGCATAATCGGTAGTGTGTAGTCGGGTCTAGACCGTGAACGCAAGCGCACGCTGTCATTGATCTATTCCGCTGCAATGGATAGCATATCGAAGCGATTGAAGTGTTCAAATTGTAATATTGTAATCTGTGAAGTATTGGCCTTTGTGCAAAATAAACTAGATGTGATGGATGAACAAAGCCTGATACAGATTTGTGAAAGTTCATTTAGTGCTGAAGAAATTGAATTAGCGAAGTCGTTATTACTTGAATCAGTGAGCAAGCGACCAAAAATTAGAAAACGACAGGGCAAAACCCTAAGGAATATTGAGGATATCATCTGCTTGCTTAAAGAAACAGACCCCGAACAGGTACCAATTTTTGTAGCAAGACGATTAGAAAAACTTCCACCCGTAACGTTCGATCATGTTGATGTGACAGTGTTGCTTAAAAAGATAGTACTATTAGAGAAAACTATACATGGCATTCAACATCAGTACGTTACGAAAAACCAACTTCATGAAGAAATAAGTGAGTATTTTAGATTAAATTCATTTGCGAACCGGGAACAAAATATTATATACAAAAGAGGTGATTGTGACAATTTTATGTACGATAGCGGACCGATGGCGCTCTCAACATCTTGCAATAATGCGTCATACATTGCTGAGGCTAATGAACCAGAAAAGTGTAAGTCTCTGTCTAATAAATCACACCAAGAATCTATGCATTCCCGTCACTCATCGCCAATAATTATATCAAGTGTGAATGAGAAGTCGCAACCTCCAGCGAGTGTATTACAAAGCTCACGATGTGCGAATGCGATAGGAGATGAGTGCAAAATGATTCATAGTGCAACGCGACCGTTTATACCTGTAGTGAATGAAACAGCTGATGGGCACGTTAGCAAGCCGTTCGACGCGTTAATTGATAAGGATAAACAAATAAATGATACATTAATAGCGAGGCGTAAGACTTTTTCTGAGGTGGTTCAGAGAGATGGAGAATGGAAGGAACCAAAAAGAAGCGAAGAATGGATTGTAGTCCAAAAACGGAGACTAAGAAACCGTTTTATAAGTCAAAAAGGAACGGCGGTTGATTTAGAGGGAAAAAGTCTAAAGTTTAAGGCAGCGGACACGCAGGTGCCCCTTTTTATATCTAATGTACATAAGGATGTGGATGAACAGGACATTGTTAACTATATATATGAAAAAACGCGGGAAAAGGTGTCTCTTGTAAAAATTCAAATGAAGCGACAAAGAGACTACAGTGCATATAAATTGTTTGTAGCTAAGCACAAGATTGATACATTCCTGGACGATAAGCTGTGGCCATCTGGTATATCGTTTAGACGGTTTGTAAACTTTTATGGAAGGCGAGAAAGTAAGGAAAATACTGAAATAACAGAGAACAAAGATACATAAATTCAAATATAAATACATTTATATTTATATATATAAATACAATATTATAGCTAAGTATTTTACAGTGAGATATTATATAAATATAACTTAAGAAACTTAATGGAAATATACAGTAAAATAATTAGTTTTAATTGTAAATCTATCAAAAGGTCAATAGAAGGAGTGAGGACCTTATGTCAGACAGCTGATGTGGTAGCTCTCCACGAGACGTGGTTGTTGCCACATGATCTGCCTATACTCAACACGATTGATAGCAACTTTGGGTCTACCGGTACGTCTGCAGTCGATACTGCGGCAGGCTTACTCAGCGGGAGGCCGTATGGCGGGGTGGCGCTGTTATGGCGTAAGTGTGCCTTCGAGTCAGTGAATGTGATTGAGTGTGATAACGAGAGGATCTGCGCGATAAAGCTAAACGTGAGTAATAGATCAGTAGTTATGTTCAGTGTGTATATGCCTACAAACTCATATGATAACCTTTCCGAGTTTACTGCGTGTCTTGGAGTCATTCGCTCTATAATAGAAATAGAGGAGAACAATGGAGTATCGGCTTTTTATATCTTAGGAGACTTTAATGCACACCCTAGTGAATTATTTTATAATGTAATGTTGGACTTCTGTATGGATCTTAATTGGATTTGTGTAGATTTAAATATGTGTGCCAGTAATACATATACCTATTGTAGTGAGGCTCACGGTTGTAATAGATGGTTGGATCACTGCATTGTCACAGAGTCAGCGCGTAATACAATCGTTAACGTAACGGTAAAATATGACGTGTATTGGTCTGACCACTAGCCACTAGTAGTCGTATGTAACCTGGGTAAACTTAAGCCAAAAGTAGCCAAATTGGATATAGAACAACCTATGAACCGTGTTATATGGGGAGAGAGACAGCAGCAGCAAATTGACCAGTATCATGACCTCTGTCATGCTAAGTTAAAACAAATAGAATTTCCACAGGAACTAAGTGCATGTTGTGATGAGTTCTGTAATAACAAGAATCATCACTCAGCCTTAGATAAGTTGTATTTAGATATAATAAATATATTGTCTGAGGCTGCTATCCAAACACACAAAGTTAAGTGTCGAAAGAAGGAAGGCTATGTTATTGGATGGAATAAGCATGTCGCGGGCCCCCACCGGGAGGCAAGGCTGAAATTTAAATTGTGGAATTTAGCTGGGCGGCCAGCTAGTGGTCGAATTTTTAATGATATGGCGGAGGCAAGGAGGCTCTTTAAAGCGAAACTTAAATGGTGCCAGGACAGGCAAGAGCAACTTAAAATGGACCGCCTTGCTTCCGACCACTCCTCGAAAAAGTTTAAAAATTTCTGGAAAAACACAAATAAAATGAATATAAGGCCGTGTCTCCCTGTGGACGTCGGTGGTGCTTGTGACCATAAAGAAATTGCGGATGCTTTTAGGAAACAGTTCACCATGCAGTCACTCTTAAGTCCCATGTGTGAGGAGATGGGCGATAGTGAGACCATCGTGAAGGAACGTAATGTTAAGATACCCGCTAAAATGGTGGCTCAGATTATTGAGAGAATGCAGCGTGGGAAGTCCCCGGGTCACGATGGTCTCAGTATTGAACATTTTAAATACGCAGGGATCCATTTACCACGAGTTCTTGCCATGTTTTTTTACCCAGTGTCTAGTTCACTCTTATTTGCCTGAGGGGCTGATGCGAACAATAGTGGTGCCAATTATTAAAAACAAGTCAGGTGATGCTTCTGATATTAGCAACTACCGGCCTATCTCACTTGCTACCACCGCGGCGAAAGTACTTGACAGTTTGTTAAATGGTTGTCTCATAAAATATGTAGATGTGCATGACGCGCAGTTCGGATTCAGGGTAGGATTGTCGACGGAAAGTGCAATTCTTACATTGAAGCATACTGTCGGGTATTACACTGCTAGGAGGACGCCGGTATACGCGTGTTTCCTCGACTTATCCAAGGCTTTTGACTTGGTCAATTATGATGTACTATGGAGCAAGTTGAGAAACGCGGGTGTGCCGGCAGATTATACTTCTCTGATCAAGTACTGGTACAGTAATCAAAAAAACCAGGTGAGATGGGCGGGCACGCTATCAGATGAATATAGATTAAAATCTGGTGTCAGACAAGGCGGTTTAAGCTCACCGTTGTTATTTAATTTATATATTAACCAGCTTATCGTGGAACTGGTTAGCACACATGTCGGCTGTCATATTGATGAGACATGTGTTAATAATATAAGCTATGCAGACGACATGGTGTTGCTCAGTCCATCTGTGGGCGGATTAAAGAAACTATTGTCTATTTGCGAGAAATATGCGGAGGATCACGGCTTGAAGTACAACTCGAAAAAGAGTGAAATTCTTGTTTTTAGAGCACCTAAACAGCCACCGCGTCGTGTTCCTCCCGTATACCTCAATGGTATAGTGCTAAATATTGTTAATACTCTTAAGTATCTTGGTCACATTATAACGAGCGATTTAAGTGATGATTGTGATATAGAGAGGGAGCGTAGGGCGCTGGCAGTTAGGAGCAATATGCTTGCCCGCAGGTTTGCTCGATGTACAGATGACGTAAAAGTCACTCTTTTCAAAGCATTTTGCCAATCTTTTTACTCGAGTAGCCTGTGGGTATCATACAGGCGACGAGCTTACAGCGCCCTTCGCATTCAATACAATAACGCTTTTAGAATGCTGTTGGGACTGCCATGGCGCTGTAGTGCTTCGAAAATGTTCGCGGATACTAGAACTAATGGATTTCATGCTGTTATGCGAAAGAAATCAGCCTCAATGTTACAGCGTCTGCGAAACAGTAATAACAGCATTTTAAAAATGATCGCGGCGAGACCGGATTGCCGCTTTCAGCGACACTGGGTAGAGCTGGCAATAGGATTAAAAAGATAATGAATTATGTATAAATATTATTATTATGTAGGCATAAATACTAACATCACTAACATAGTTATTAAGTAAAATTGTTACTAATATACTTACACTTAATATGGACTAATTATGTCTGAAATAAAGTTATATTATTATTATTATTATTATAATGTTATTTTACCCAGTTATGTTTTGCAAATAGAAACGGTCATTACACACAAAATACCTATGACACAGTTATTATACCTACATGTATATTTGAATTTCTTGAAATTCACGGATGAGTGGAATTTTGACCCCCCCCCCCCTCCCCCCCTACCCATCCGCCTTGCTCAGGGGTGGAGTAGCTTGGTCGTGGATGCTTATTATTAGTATTAATCTTGTTCACTATTTTTAATAATGACTTATCAACATGTTGTGTGTAAAAGTTTGCTTACTAACAGTATTATCCAGGAATTATTAAACGTCACTATCATTACTATCGTTATCATTACTATTGATTCTAGTTGTATCAAATATTGGGATACATGCGCTTATCACTTGCACCAAATCATGCGAATAATGTAACCATTTGTAAACGATTACGCACACTATAACCTGACGATTGAGTCCATTTAGCTTTTTACGTTTTTTCTTCTACGATCGTCAACTTTTGGGTAACTCTCAAGGTCGCAATGGCACAGAATCGTACGAGGTTCATTACCACGGTCAAACGATTTTAAGGCGATGGAATTGCGTCATTTAATCTTGCATAAGCGTAACGTTTTTTTGTCCGTCTCAGTTTGGTATTATAATGGTCCTTTGTTGTAAATATTACAACGTACCATATTTAAAATTCTTTTCACTTTTATGATTTCATATTATGTTACGAAATATATTTAAATAAACATACGTACAGCATTGAAATAAACGTTTCGTAAATAATTAAGGTTCGGTTTAGTTTTGAAATTTTTCGTAAATTATCTTGAATGATAATTTACGAAAAATAGGCCGTTTGTTACAAATTACTGTTAAAACATTGTTTAAAACTCGTTGCAACATTTAGGAAAGTAATAAAAAATACGTCATAATAAACTATGTAGTTGAAGCATAGTAATAACAAATAACCAGATACTACAGAAAATCCAAAAAAGATCCGTGGCAGCATAGCGGTATAAAAGGGATGTGATAGCTAAGAAGAGCCGTGGTGGTACAGGTGATAAGTTTTTTCATTTATTCATACTTTCATTGCGACCTTGAAAATCTGCTGAACATAGGCCGCCCCATAGATTTCCCGTATGGGGATATTTGCAATAGTTGGCAAGCTAGGAAACCGCAGTGTTTATTTCATAGGCGTTATTAGCAAGATGCTGCTGCCTATCTCCTTCCCTGGTTGATCATACGACACCCACGAGGCGATATAGAGTTGTGGATATACTTACACAGCCACTACACGGTAAAGGGTCGTAAATTTACACAATATGCGACCAACCTGGTTTCAATCTCTACCAAAATCTATGAAACTGTTGGTTGCAATTTTAAATGCTTATTTATCACGTTTATCGGTGAAAGAAAACATCGTTAGAAAACCTGTACATCTTAGAAGTAAAATATCCCAGTAGTAAAATTCTTCGAAGACATATAAAATCCGAAACCACGCACTGAAGTAGCGCGGCATACTAATTTCTCCATAACCCTCTCAGTAACGAGAGAAGACTCTTAGACGTAGACTCTTACGGCTACCACGATACGAAATTTATAGATGGTCCCTCTTATGCCACTAATTTTGTTCTAAAAGTCTTCTTTTGTAGAAATAGGGTGACAAACGAGCACACAGTCTACCTGATGGTAAGTGGTTGCTGAGACCCATAGACATCTACATCTACATCTATCATTGTTTGTGAATCAAAATGTGTGTCAGCCTTGACGACTGAGATGGAATGCCTCTTTTCCAGTAAAAAGGGTCTCCGTTTCTCTACACTCACCACACGAAACACAGCAGCATTATGCTGCTTTTATACGCTGGTATTCTGTGAAAGCGTGGTCCTTATCCAGTCGAGCCGACCCATTCGTGTTACAACTATACAATTAATATATGCAGCTGCAACTTGGCTCTACCACGTAAAAGTCTACATTAACATAGCATATTAGAGGAGAATTTTTGTTATTAGTCTTATGTGACATTAGATTTTCTGGGAAATCTGAGACGATCAAATATTGAATAATTGTGTTAATCTAAGGTACATCATCCACAGCGAAAAGATTTGCTGTACGGTTGCGGTGCGGTCGCGAAACTGTCGTTCGAGAAGTCTGCTTACTCGGCTTTTCATCATGGGTGGAATATACAATTATAAGTACATAAAATATTTTTTTTACATAGAAATGCTTCAAATTAGGATATAGTATGACTTGAGTCACGGTGGAGTTGTGGCGGTGTTGTGTTTGTTTTTTACTAAGTAAATATCTCTAGTCCCGACTCCGCTTTGACTTTTTAGTGGACATCTACCCTAATGCTCTAATTCGCTTAGAAATATTATACTCTCTGCGAAATATGGTATTGTTTTTCAACAAACTTGATATATAAATTGAGGGAATATCTGTGGATAATCATACTCAAGAGAATCATCTGAGGCTAGACACCAATCAGTAGCTAGTAACATGATGACTCAGCAGGTGAGGACGTTCGTATTTTAATCATAAAGTTTATTTTATTTTGTGTTAAATAAAATTGCACAAAACAATATATTTTCAACATTTTTCTTACCACACCGTGACTAAGACTTCCGCTTAAAATTCAATTTTAAGCCAAAAATTTTAAGCAAAAAAGTATGCTAATATTTTACTTTATTATGAAATATAAGCATATTTTGCTGATTAATCGATAATTTATTATGAAGTATAACGTACCTAATTCAAATAAAATATTTTAATGTGAAGTGTATTTTAAAGGAACAAAAAAAAACAAATAAATATGTGAAGTAACATTGATACAGAAAATTTGGAAGGTACATCATTCCAACAATTAAAAATGACTTAATTTTTAATATGTGGCAACAACTATTCATTAACTAACAGCAAGAGCAGTACTGCGACCAGTATGATCCATTAGGATCAGTGCTACTGCTATATTTCACCGCTAAGCCCTACACTTACACTGAATTTTTCCTCTGGGCTAATATGTAAATCTCTAGATCATAGTATATTATAATACATACACAACTAGATCGAGTGATGTTACATTTGTGCAACATGAGTTCGCATTCCGTTAGAATCTGCAAAGATGTTTCGACTGCTAGAACATAAATCCTTCACATGCTTGAATAGTTGAGGTTTAAATAAGTAGGTATTTTTAAGCATTTTTCTTGCTTTAATTTCAATAAGTAGGTATTTTTAAGCATTTTTCTTGCTTTAATTTCAATTAAAATAAATTGATTTTTTCTTTCCTAAAATAAATGCAGGTTGACTGGAAAGTTGCTGTATAAGACCGCCTTTTTGTTTTCTCTTTGTGTTTGTTTCTTGTTATATACTTAATTTGTTTCCTTGGTATACAATAAAGAGTATTGTCTTGTATTTTATAGTCTATGTATATATATATATATATATATATACATAGACTATAAATATATATATATATATATATATATATATATATATATATATATATATATATATTTTTTCATTGTATTTGGTACATCATTACTAACGTGCGCTAAGTGTGCACTAGGAGGTAACACTTCTTTTCTGTTCAAAAGGCCATCCAAATAGGTATTATCAAGCAGCAGTCTGAAGGGTATAGGTGTAATACATATTGTGAGGCATTCCATCTTAGACTTCGGTGGTCACAACTGTTGTCTTCTTTGTTTAATGTTGGATGTAGGTGGCCATACCATCAGGCGACTATCAGTTTGTTTGTCACTTCAATTTTATATTTAAAATAAAGTGACCGTCAGTTCGTATGCCACTTCAATTTTATAAGCGGTAGAGCCACGCTGCGGATATTATGGTTGTAGCACGAATGAGTCGACTCGACCAGAGAAGAACCACGCACTCACAGAATAACAGCGTAAAATAGCAACTCAATACGGAGTTTCAGTGTAGAGAACAGGAGACACTTTTTGATGAAAACTGGGCATTCATTTTTTAATCGAGGATAAATGTAGATGTCTATGGGCTACAGCATCCGTTTGCCATCAGCTGTACTTTGTGCTCGTTTGTCACCCCTTTTCTATAAAATTAAATAAAATATAAACGTTTCTCGTATACCTATTCACGAATGTGCCAAGCACTTCTTGGATTATTGCCCGTACTGACCACGTCAGATACGGGTTTGTGTCACTGTTATGGATATAGCCGATACTCTAACAGATTGTAATAACTGCTTCCCATGAGCAGTCTATACTGTTTGTATACAACTGCTATTTGGTACAAGATCTGCTAGATTTAATAATAAATAACAGAACGGTAAAAGTGTCTTCTGAAAAAGTTCGCAGCGTAAATAATCCTCTATTTTGCTTAGAAGATATTGATAAGAAAATTTTAAAAGACACAAAGACATTAAGTTTCTTTTTCTTCTTGGTATTTTCTAATAATTAGTCTCATCACTATCAGCACAGTATATCAAAAGTCTAATACTAAACATAGGCCTCATCCATAGACTGTTTCATATGGATATTTGCCATTATTGTTACCAATCGAAATTTTTTCATTGTGGTTGATTTGTAAGATGGTGACCCTCATCTTTTGTTTCATTTCTCCTTGTCGCTTCTTACAACACCAACAAAATGACATGAGGTTGTAGATACTTTTACGCTGCCACTACACAGCTCCTAATAAAAACTATGCAAAAGGTTCAAGCGGTATTTCATCCTAAAGAAGAATTGATATTTTCATGTACCTTTCTAAAAATCGTTCCTTTCTCCATAGCAAGCTCTACGCGGTTTCATTTATATATTTCTTAAATATTATTACTCTTATTTTTTTTAATAATAGACCTTGAATTCCAAAAAAATGTGCAAATGTTATATAGGCAATAATATCTATATTTATTTCATTATTCATCCAGCTAAACATACTGGTATAATTAACTTGCGCCTTTCGTTTGCAGCTTACTATTCTATGTTGTCTGGTCATGGCGACGACAAGCATGGTGCTGCATCAGGCTCCACAACCACTGTACCTACCTCCGGAATATCAACAACCGACACCACAGTACAATTTCGCTTACGGAACTAACGATGCAAATACCGGAGATTACAAGAGTCAGCAAGATAATTATGGAGGAGGTAATGCACTTGGTCAATACTCTCTCCTGCAGCCCGATAGCATTACAAGAACTGTTGATTACAGAGCAAATGATCGTTCAGCATTTAACGCATTAGTAAACAATGACAGAAAACAGAACAATGTACCTACTGATAGGCAGGCGGAGATCAACAATAATGAAGTAGCGAGACAAAACAACGGAGCGTCTAAAATAAATCAACTATTACTAACTCCCAACACTCAGCAACCGAGTCAATCTCCCGTTATTATCACCCATACATCAGTTTACCATCAAACTTATTCAAATGGTCAAAATCCTTGGATTTAATTCTTTAAAACTGAGTAGAAAATGTACAATAGTTCGTTTAAGTGGTAAACTAGACTAAAACGGACAGTAACTTACGCAATAAAAGCATTTAATTGTATTTTTTATGAATATTTAAATTTCTAATTTATATTGACCTTAACTTACAAACATTTTATGCATTGCTATTTAGCTCCATGCCACAATATGTATACTAATAAAAAATGTTATAAATCCTTATATTTATGAAATAAACATACGCTATAAAATTCTTGTAGTTTTATTTCAACCTTCATTATTTCACCGGTGTAAATTACACAAATTCCCTGTTGTATTGTGTGAGGATGTTTTAAAGACAAATTATAATGATTTATTACATTTACTTATAAGGTATATAGGTTAACCTGTTCATTTGGTTAAAATGCTTTTTCAATAATTAAATAACGAATCGTAAACCATCCTGGCGGTTTCTGAGACACATTGCACGGTGTATCGCCCTGACGATCTTGACTTTTAGATACTTCCTGATTTTCTTTACTAGCAAACAGGTTGAGAAGTAAAACTGGATCAGTCTCAAACGTTGTATAAATACACAGGAGCTCAACGAGGAGGATTATATTTGAAGGATTCACCATAGTAGTTGAAGCTCTAAAAATCATCTTAAAATGAAGGTACGCATTGTTCTTATTAAAATACATAATTTACAATGATCTTATTAATCCTGTGGTACGTTTTAAGCCATGGTAGCTCAGATAGTTAGCGCTCGCTGTAAGCTTCACAGTACTCGAGCAACCCGGGTTCGATCCCCGCCGGCACCAATGAAATTGTTAATTGCAATTTTAAGTGCTGATTTACCACGTGTTCGGCGGTGAAGGAAAACATCGTGAGGAAACCTGCATGTCTGAGAAATAAGAAAAAAAAATATTTTCGAAGACATGTGAAGTTCGCCAACACACATTGTGGCAGCGCGGCGGACATTTCCTTGCCCTAAAACCCTCTCAGAAATGAGAGGAGGCCTGTGCCCAGCAGTGGGACGTAAATAGGCTGCAACTTTACTTTTACTTTAATACGTTTTAAAGATGGCACTCTTAAACCAGTGGATGCACCCCTATTTTGACGAGCACGACATCTTACCTTGCCAACTTACAGTTACACAATATATAATAGGTGCAATATCAAAATGAAACTAGAAAAATATGCTGTACAATCCAGCCTTTGTTATATTAAATAATTCTTAGAAAATAACTTAAATTATATTTTATGCATTAATTTTACGAAATACCATTTTTATTATTTCCAGTTTCTGCTCATTCTCTTACTCGTGGCCGCTGCCACCGCCAGTGATTTTTCAAGCTTCTCTTATGGTGTTGCGGACCCTTACACCGGTGACTACAAGAGTCAGATTGAAAGTCGGGCTGGAGACAATGTGCAGGGCCAGTACTCACTTCTCGAACCCGACGGCACCCGCAGAACTGTTGACTACTCTGCCGGCGCTGAAGGCTTTAACGCTGCCGTCAGGAAGGACCCTGGTCTGATCCCAGCCACTCCTATCGTATACGGCATTCCTTATGGTTACTCAAACTTGGGCTACTACCCAGGATTTGGATACGCTGCGCCTTACAAGCGTCTTCTCTGAAAACAACATTACGATAATCCATCTGTAGATAAAAATACTTGTAAATAAATCAATAACAATTGAATACGCCTATGAATTTATAAATCTAATTTACACAACATTAAAATAGACAATATTTATCACCTTATTAAGAAAAAAAAACTAAAACTAAAAACTTAAATTATCATACATTACTAATCACCGCGGTATAGTGTCAAAATCGCTCGATGTGTTTATTAATGAACAACCTAATTGTTTTAACAATTTTTTTTTGTTAATTTATTAATTTTAATAATGAATGGAGAATGGAAGCATGCAAATAAACGTTACCATTACCTTCGCATACTATTACAAATGTCTTAACTACCTATATAATTGCTTCCAAGTACACACAATGGATGTTGGGGAATGTTGAATTTATTTACAAGGTCACCGGACAATAACTAAAATTAAATTACAAGCCTATGATTACAACACAATTTGACATTGACGCAAAATAGTTCAAATTTGATCAAAACAAAATCTTGATATTAATTAATTTTCATATAGTTTTTGAAATGTTTAATTAAACAAGCATAATATGAAACATGCATGCAACAAATTTAATTATTGTTACATAAAAATATTTGTTACGCGTTCTATTTTTAAAACTATGTTTTTCTTTTGGTATTTTATAGCGTCCTGTGTTATGCTGGGTTATATGCCTAGGGTTATAGTGCACAGTGCACACTCTATTCCCTCATTCTCATAGTCCGGTGGGACAACAATCCGATACGACCAGAGAAACATCAGTCGTAGGATCAACGTCTTTACGTGCTTTATAGGCACGGGTGTAAAGCAACTCCCACTTCCTGACTTCGGACTGCTTCTGTGAATATCTTGACAGAGAAACAGAATAACTGATACTGGCCCGACCAGGGGTTCTAACCCGAGACCACATGTTATAGCACACAGCAGTCGTGCTTACGATAACAACACAAACGAGGCAGTCACAACATTCAAAAGTATATATAAATAGAATAAGTTAATATAATATCGGATAATCGGAACTGTAACGTTACTTTAGAGTTTACTTTAGCTGATATAATCGGACCTGTTATGTTACTTTAGAGTTTCAATGTAATTTAACTGATGGATTTGATACCCATATGCACATAAATGCAAAATTAAAGTTTAGTATGTACACATTCCCGGCGAAATTTAAGTTCAGAGTTTCAAATACTAGGATATATATATCTATAGTATTAAACGCTTTCATCAAAAAGTTATAACCAGTACGTATAATTTATTACTGAATAAAAGCATCCCTTTTAAATTATCTAAACACTAAGTGACTAAAAGTCACAAAACGCTCTACAAACATGTTTTTAAGATAAAATACTTAAAGTACCTGAGGCAAGTAGCAGCTTTAGTGGCGTGGTCCTGACCACACCACTTTCCAAATATCTTACAGTTCCGCGTCGTATACTCGTGTATCGGTTATAAGTTAACCAACAAAATTAAACTCTAAATGCTATATAGCGTGACCTAGAGCGGACAACAGTCTTTTACTTCCTATTAATAGCACACAATTACTGTGCAGGAGTAGTATAAAATGACCAGTGTTCACCCAGATTGATCATTCACCGTTCACCTGTGCAGCAAAAATATACTTATCAAAATGGCAGCTAAGGTAAATAATTATTTCAGTATAAATCGTGTACTCTTTGAGAAAGCCATCGAAAATTATTTTAATTTGTAAGAATATCCACTCACAAGTGGTGACAGGGAGAAACAAACCAAGAGATGAGCTGTCTGTTTAATTGTTACTGTTTTTTATTACAGATAGAAGCAACCTTTACATTTTCCTATCAAATTAACTTCCTCTTTATGAAATCTGTCAAATATTCCATCTAAATTACCTATATCGTAATATTTCATGACCTACAATGTTGTTGATGCCATTATTGAAAATATCCTACTTATGAGGCAATCTAAATAGAGGTCCATGTTCAGCGGTTGAGTTTGATAAGCTGTACTGAATTAACGAATGAACGAGGAGCTAATAACATGTTTGTATCTTTCAGTTCGTCGTTATCGCGATGTTGGTGGCAGCTGCTCAAGGCAGCGCAATCCACGGCGGAGACTACTCGAGCTTCTCATACGGAGTGGCTGACCCACATACCGGAGACGTCAAGAGCCAGCACGAGACCCGCGTCGGAGACAATGTCGTCGGCCAGTACTCGCTGCTCGAGTCTGACGGCCATCGCCGCACTGTTGACTACGCTGCTGGACCTCACTCTGGATTCAACGCCATTGTGCGCAGAGACCCTGCTGTGATCGCACACGCCGCCCCCGCGGTTGTTGCTGCCCACGCCGCACCTTTGGCGTACGCCGCTCACGCTAGCCCCCTCGCTGTTGGAGCTCACATTGCACCTGGCGCTGTTTCCTACTCAGCTCACAGTAGCTCTGTTGCTCACGGCAGTCCCCTCGCTCACTCTGCAGTTGTAGCTGCTCCTCTTGCTCACGGTGCCATCGCCTATGGCGCTCCTGCTCTCGGCTATGGCGCACACGGTCTCGCCCACGGTGCTCTCGGTCTCGGCTACGGTGCGCATGGTCTTGCCTACGGTGCCCATGGTCTCGGTGCCCACGGCTACCTTCATTAGGAACTGAACGATAATACAACTACTAGGCAATAATAATGTAACAACGAATATAATTTATTCTGACATGTGAGTAAATGATGTGAAACTGTGATTGAATTAATGAATAAACTTGTATAAGTTTAAAAGTTATTTTATTCCTAATTCCCCTACATATTGTGTCAAAATTATGTAATCGAATATATAAAAATTAATATTTGTTTGTTCCTATTTTATGCGCTGCCATACCGTTCATCAGATTGCGGTAAAACTTTGTCAACTTATTGCTTGCGCTTGTGCTAAGGTTATAGGCATAGTATAATTAACTTACAGTAGGTGGCGCGCGTATTGTAACGACAATTTATTTGAAAGTTATAGACCATTCAATTTCAATGATTATATTATCATTCCTAATTAAACCATATAACTCTTCCAAATTTAAAACGATATTTCCACAATTATTTCATCTGCGACAGCAATGCGCCGGGTACCATCAGTGGGCCAACTATTTTTTAATTATCTAGCATTTTAATATGAATTATAAAACATCATAAACATTAAATATTATTTTGTGGAAATTAATTAAAATAATTACAAATATAATGTAATCAAAATATTATTTCTTTGTCATCAATTATCGTCAAAAAATTCATTTTGAAGTATCATAACATTTATTAATAAATAATGTATGTATTTATTTACTAAATTGCGCAGGATTTTCAGAGATTTTTTAAATAATTTGATAGATGGTTATATTTTTTATTGGCATAGCGTGGGTGCTTGATAAAACTATTTTAATTTGGAAATGGGCATTCTAAGCTTATTTAAATTTCTATTGTTTCTTTTAGTTTTTTTTTATAGGTTACTAGCGTTTTAGGCGTGCTGTGACGCATTTACATGACTCGAGCACGAAGGAAAAAGAGTCGGTATTTTGTGTTTTAGGAAATGAGGCTTACATGATTCCATTTGGTCAATATTTGTTAATATTCGTAGACATTTCTTTTGTAGTATAAATAATTTATCTACATTACAAGAGTTCCCCCACAAGATGACGACATAGGGAAGAATCTAATGAGCATTTGCATAGTAGGCCGTAAGCGCAGTCCTATTAGAGTTAACAGTTTCTAGTTGAGTTAAAATAATCGAAGACCATTTTCACTAGTAAAAAATCATTCTATCTTAGTCTTCAAAGGTGAGAACGCACCTTCATTTAAATTCTTAACCGAGAATCGATGTGTGCCCATAATCCTGAGGATCCGCTTGGCATAAAATAACATCTACATAAAGTGTATCGAAGAATTCAAGCCCCGACTTCAGAAGCTATTACGTGGATATTATTTTTGTTTGTTTTTTTTGTTTTTAAAGCCAATTTTCCTTTTTTTTTTTAATTCAATTATTTCATCCTTTGAGCGACCTAAGAAATATCAGTAGTTCGTGGTAACAACTAGAATGTCGTCTTAATAGTTACTTAAAAATTTCGTCCTCTATTTTTCCACGAAATTTTTTATTAAATTTTATATGGGACCACCCGTGTAGCCTATTTAATAAAAAAAGGATTATTAAAATGTGTTCAACCGTTTCCGAGAAATCGGTAAACAGATGTGTCAAAAATAAAACCTTCTCATTTATGGAAATCGGTTAAAATCTTTATAAAATCTATAAGTGTTTAAGAAAATGATTTTATTTTAATGGTTCATAAATCTTTATCTATGAAATTGTTACATTTTGGTTAACTTAAACTTGTACACTAAATTCCATTCCACTGAATTCCAATTTCAAATTCGAATTTTGAGTTCAAATTCGAAGTTCAAAATCTAATGTATGAAGGAGATTAATTTGAATAATAAACTACCTAAGGCCATAAAAGATGTTATAATTTGGAATAATTATAAAAATAAGCTAATGATATAATGTGTAAGCTTAAATATAGTCATTTGTAAATATGCATGCTCACTGCACTACCTAGCTACTAAATAGTTTTAAGTTGTATTTTATGTGAAATTGTGTAATTTTTTTCCTAGATAAACTTAGATTAAGGTAATTTTGAAGCCATGAAATTGATTTAAAGTTCTCTCTCTATCACAAAACCAGCGAAAAATAGCACCTGCTTTGTTTCGTATGGTGAGTGTACCAGTGGACCCTTTTTACAAGAAACAAGGCATTCCTTCTTAGTCCTCAAGTGTCTACGCATCTGCATTTTGATTCTTGTCTATGTGCCTCAGCATCCACTTACCATCATGTGGATTGTGTGCTCGTGTGTCACCTATACTCTACCAAAAAATCGATTACACCAGTAGTATAGTAAGCCGGATACACTGACCACGTAACTTATCTTTGGCCGAAAAAAATACATATCAGTCATAAAATTTTCTACTACATTATTATTCATTCTCATACAAAAATTAATATTAAAATGTCTCTTTTTTAAGTTTATACTTTATGAAATGCACATATGTATACAAACAAGCACATAGTCTACCTCATGGGTGCTGTAGTATCTACTACGCATCTGATTTGTCACCCCTGAGGATTGATAGAATGCCTCATTACCAGTAAAAAGCATCTCCGGTATTCTACTTTCAACATACGAAACGCAGCAGTAGTAATATGCTAAAGTGTTCTCCTTCCCTGTTGAGCCGACCCATTCGTGCTGCAACTGTAATTTAGCTGCAGCATGGCCCTATCACGTTATAAGTTTATATGATTTACAGTAATAATTATTAGAATATTATATAAATATTGTTCTGACGCCCCACAATTTTGTCTGACCCATATTTTTATATCGATTTTATTGAGTTATTCAAGCAGATGCGGATAAAACTTTTTCGATTTATTTTACATAAATGAGGGGTACAAAAATATTGAAAGATGAACTTCAGTAATAAAGTGGATTATTAAAAACTGGTATAGACAATTTTATTACATATAATCTTACATAAAGTTGTGATAGTAACACATCAAATTGTTCACGACAGTCATCAATATTACATTGATTTAGGCAGTACTATAACATTGATTCAGCCCATTGAAAATCTACATAGGTCACCTCCATATATTGCATCATAGGGGGAATATTTGCCATAAATAGGTCGCTTGGCAGGCGGGTTCACAACCGTAGTATTTTATTGAGTTGTTATGAGGTTATACGTGGTAGAGCCATGCTGCAGCTATATTAATAGTATAGTTGCAGCACGAATGGGTCGGCTCGACCGGGGAAGGACCACGCTCTCACAGAATACCAGCGTAAAATAGTAGCTTAATGCTGCTGTGTTTCGTATGGTGAGTGTAGAGAACCGGAGACCCTTTTTACTGGAAAAGAGGCATTCTATCTTAGCCCTCACGGCTGACAACGCATCTGCATTTTGATTCGCTAACGAAGATTGATGCAGATGTCTATGGGCCACAGCAACCACTTACCATCTGGTGGACTGTATGCTCGTTGGTCACCCTATCCTATAAAAAAAAATATGGAGTTGTTATCAAGAAGATCTTACTATCTATCTCCTGTTTGTCTCAACATACGACACACACGGGATGATACGGTAGTGGCGGAGGCCTTGCTTTTAACCTTGGTATAGTTCAAACAATATTGTAGTGTTATTAAACTCTACTGTTTCCATTATAACCTTTCAAAAGTACATTGCTAAACGCAGGCCTACCTCATAGATATTATTAATTACTATTAGGAACTTTAAATACACCGTAACGGACTGATAAAAAGGATGAAGAATAAATTCAATGGGGTTTACATTTGGATACAAAATAAACAAAATCAACTGATGAACATAAAAAAATATAACATACGAGATGACAAAATAAAATTGCCAACTGTACTTAGACTGCTTTTTCTTCTCTTTTGTCAGCTCTATAAATACCACAGCTGGATATTAGTATTTTGAAAATTCGACTTAATCGCCATACTTGACAGGTGGCTTGGCGATAGCAATAGGTACCATAAGTCTTACACATTAACATTACGTCTGGTATTAAATGACATTGTTCTACTAAGATTTTTCCCATGGTCGCCTCTTAATACACCCACGATTCACTATACAAAAAGGGGTGATGCATATACTTACATCATCACCACACGGCTCTGGAAGGAAGCTGCAAGCAGGCTGCTTGCAGCTTCCTTCCATTTTAACGTAATATCGCTACTACAGTGGTAATGGTACTGATGGAAGAGTCGTGTTATTAAGTTTTCGTTGATATATTTGTTCATGTTCCTGCTGTGGATTACTACTAGAATATCTCGATTAAAATTTTGAAGACATCAATTTAAAAAAAAAGTCAAAGCACTCATTCTGGAATTCAAAATATAACGAAATCTTGAGACAGAAAAGGCGAGTTTATTAATGCTTGCAGGCGAATGTTAATATAAGGTTTAATTAATTTAGTATTTGTGTAAAGTTCTAGAAATAGCACTATTAAATATTTTACATATTTATTTTATTTCTTAAAAAATAACATTCAGTTTTTTGTGGTTATTATTACCAGCCAATACGAGCTGCAATAGATTTAAATAACACAATTTAATATTACGTATAAAAGAGCGAGTTATGTACCGTTCTAACAATAGTTAGACAGATAGAGAAACAAAACCCAAGTGTATACATAAGCAGCTTTTTCTGTCAATCGGCGAGCGTTTGTGTTCTGAGGTGTTTGTTTAAACTAGTTAAATAATACGATTAAATGTTCAACAAAGTTATTTTTTTATTAGAATCACAGCTATAAGTTTTCTTTGGTCCATATTTTTGTATCAGTACCAGCCAAGACGAGCACCATAGCCGTAAGCAAGGCCGTTGGCACCGTATGAGATGACATTACGAGCGAGAGGACTGGCGAGGACTCCGTGAGACAGAGGTGCGGCGTAAGTGTTGTAGGCCACAGGCGTCGCGATGTTAGAGTAAGCGAGGGGAGCAACTTGGGCTGTGTATGCAAGACCAGAGGCGTAGGCACCGTAAGTTGCCAGAGGAGCGGCGGCAGCGTAGCTCAGAGGAGCAGCTACAACGGCTGGTGCTGCATGACCGAGGACGGCAGGATCCCTGCGTACGACTGCGTTGAATCCGGTATGCGCGTTAGCGGAATAGTCGACGGTGCGGCGGTGGCCGTCGGACTCTAGCAGCGAGTACTGGCCCACCACACTGTCACCGACACGCGTCTCGTGCTGACCCTTCACGTCGCCGGTGTGCGGGTCTGCAACTCCGTAAGAGAAGCTGTTGTAATTACCATGGCTCGCGCTTCCGTGCGCAGCCGCCACGAAGAGAGCAAAGACAACCAACTGTGAAATAAACGAAAAGGTTAACTGTATCACTGATCTTACCAAAAAATAGTCTAATGTATTTTAAGGTTTATTTTTTCGTATAAAAATATTATTTTCAATACCGAACATTACCTTAGCGGCCATTGTACGTGTGTTTTGTTCAACGTCAGTGAGTTACTGATTAACCCTGAAGTTTTCTTTCTCTATTTATATACTGACGAAGGCTTTCATTGAAATATTTTATTTTTTGAATAAGGAAGTTATTTATTATGCATATCTTAATACTTTCATAATTATAATTAAGGCCGGATTGTATACTTTGTCTATTCATATAATTTTAACAAAAGCTTGGTACATAAAATTACATTGTGAAGACAATGCAAAAATGTGGCATACTAGCTTGAACTGCGCCTTCGACCGCGTAGAAATGAAATCAAAAAGAGACCTGCAGATGTACACGTATAATGCTAGTATTTCAATTATCAAATTTCACTATATTCTTTTTTTTTTGCTATTATCTCAATTACTATGCGTTGTTTGGGAATATGTTAAAAATAAAGATTGAAGAATTATTAATTTCACGTAATAACATTTTAACCTTCATAGTGTTGTTGTATTATGATGGTAAAGTAAATCAACCGTGTAGTGGCTGTGTATATACCCTTCTTCTTAGGGTGCCACTTCTCTGCGAAGGTTGGCGACCATCATGGCTACCTTTATCTTTGAAACTGCAGCACGGAAGAAAGAGCGAGTGATGAGATTAAAACAATCACGAAGGTTCTTCAGCCAGGATGTTTTTCTTCTGCCAGGTCAGCGTTTCCCCTCGATTATTCCTTGAATTACAAGCTGAAGAATACGATATTTGTGTCCTCTCATTATGTGTATATATAATATCCACTACCCCATATCCTCCTTTGGATGTTTTTTTATAGGATAAGGGTGACAAACGAGCACACAGTCCACCTGATGGTAAGTGGTTGCTGCGGCCCATCTACATCTATCCTCTATTACAAATCAAAATTCAGATGCGTTGTCAACCGTGAGGACTAAGATGGAATGCCTCATTTCCAGTAAAAAGGGCCTCCGGCCACCTGCACACACCAAGCGAAACGCAGAGGTAAACCTCTACTTCACGCTGGTATTCTGTGAGGTCGTGGTACCATCTCGGTTCGAGCCGGCCCATCCGTGCGACAGCAAAAGCTGTCGCGTGGCTCTACCAAATACTTTTTAATGCCATATTAGGATGTGGTAAGAGGCAGCAGAGGGGAATTGAAAACTAGAGATTTCATCTTCCTCAAATTAATAAGGACTTGCGGGTGCCAACCATGCCAAATATGGCAACTGTGGCAAAATCCGCCTATGAAGCAATCTATGGGGGAAGCCTTTAAACAGCAGTGGACTTTTATAGGCTGTAGTGGATGGTAAATAAAATAGGAAATGATGAATTTTTTTTTTATATTTAAACACAAAACAAGGAGTTTTTACGAAACTTTTTTAATATTATTGTCTTTGACATATTAAAAATCATCGAAATTAATGTAATTGATTGATTGATTTATTTATTTATTCTTAATTGTACACCTTAATTCAAAAGTTTACATAGGGCGACTTAATGCCTTTTGACATTCTCTCCCAGTCAACCCTGGTCGTGTGGAAACAATGTACACACACACATATATATATATATATATATATATATATATATATATATATATGGCCGTGTAGTGGCGGTTAAGAATATCCACTACCCCATATCCTCCCGTGGGTGTCGTAAAAGGCGACAAAGGGAAACAGGCAGGAGATGGGCGGCAGCATCTTCCTGATAACAGCCAAAATAACAATAAAAAACTGCGGTTGCCAACCCGCTCGCCAAGCGTGGCAACTATGGCAACATACCCGCCATGAGCAATGACAATAATAAACGGCCCCCAGTCTCCGGCGGCCCCGCTATTCCTGGCTACGTTGGCGACCATGGTAACGGCGGGGCAGGGGGTGCTAAGAATCTCCGGTGGAGGTTCGGTTGCCACCTACGACGACTCGACCTGGCAACATACAACGCACGCACCCTGAGGACTGACGAGAAGATTGTAGAGCTGGAAGAAGAGATAGACAAGTTACGCTGGCATATTATAGGATTATCCGAATTCCGAAGAGAGGGGGAGGACACGGTAATCCTCGAATCCGGCAACTTGCTCTATTACCGGGAGGGCGACCATGTGTCCCAAGGAGGTGTCGGATTTATCGTCCACAAGTCTCTCGTTAACAACGTTGTAAAAATTGAGAGTGTGTCGACGAGGGTTGCGTACCTTATACTCAGAATCACCAAACGGTATTCGCTGAAGGTCATACAGGTTTACGCACCAACCTCGGCACACCCCGATCAGGAGGTGGAGGAAATGTATGAGGATATCTCTAGAGCCATGCATTCCTCCAAAACCCAATATACGGTGTTAATGGGAGACTTCAATGCAAAACTAGGCACAAGAGAGAACGGTGAGCTGAAAGTAGGGAAATTTGGAATAGGGCAACGGAACCCAAGGGGCCAGCAGTTGGCTGACTTCATGGAGAAAGAGGGACTCTTTATGATGAACTCTTTCTTCCAGAAGCGGCCCCACAGGAAGTGGACCTGGTCGAGCCCCGACGGTTCGACAAAAAATGAGATTGACTTCATTATGACGACCAGACGACAACTGTTCAGTGATGTCTCAGTGATCGCGAGGGTGAAAACCGGCAGCGATCACCGAATGGTTAGAGGCACACTGAACCTAAACGTTAAGTTGGAGAGGTCTCGTCTAATGAAGTCAACGCTCCGTCCCCCTCGTGCTCTAATCCAAAGTCCCGAAACCTTTCAGCTCGAGTTACAAAACCGTTTTCAGTGCCTAGAAGACTGCAATGAAGTGGACGATTTGAATGACAAGCGCGTGGAAACTGTCCATGCGGTCGGAGCAGGCAGTTTGACAGCATACAGGCAACTGAACAGACAGATCTCCAAATGCATGCGGCGGGTATTACGCAACTTCAATACAGCTCGTATTGAAGAAGCGATCGAGCGAAACCAAGGCTCCAAAGTCTTTGCCAGAGATCTGTCTGCCAGAAAGCGCCAACTGTCAAAGCTGAAGACAGAATGTGGCAGCATCGTTTCCGGGGCACCTGAGATTTTGAGTGAGATTGAGAGGTTCTATGGGCAGCTGTACACGTCATCGTTGGAGCCGCACGCAAGTGTGAGTAACGATCCAAGAGCGAGTCTTATCCGACATTATTCCGATGATATCCCGGACGTCAGTCTGAGCGAGATTAGAATGGCTCTCCATGACCTTAAAACGGCAAGGCCCCAGGCGAGGATGGAATTACAGCGGAGCTTCTGAAAGCGGGTGGAAAACCGGTACTTGAAGTCCTTCAGAAGCTCTTTAATTCCGTCCTCCATGGTGGCATTACACCGGAGGCGTGGAGCAGAAGTGCGGTGGTCTTCAAGAAAGGCGACAACGCTCTCTTGAAGAACTACAGACCGATTTCCCTTCTGAGGCGCGTCTACGTGCTGTTTTCGAGAGTCATTACGAATCGTCTCGCGCGCAGACTTGACGACTTCCAGCCTCCCGAACAAGCCGGTTTCCGAAAAGGCTTTAGCACCATAGACCACATACATACCCTTCGGCAAATTGTACAGAAGTCCGAGGAGTACAATTTGCCACTATGTCTGGCGTATGTGGACTATGAGAAAGCCTTTGATTCCGTCGAAATTTGGGCGGTGCTGCAGTCCCTTCAGCGATGCCAAGTTGACTGTCGGTATATCGAAGTGTTGAAGTGCTTGTACAGTACGGCTACGATGGCTATCCGAGTACAGAACCAGAGTACGAAACCTATCCAATTGCAGAGAGGTGTAAGACAGGGTGACGTCATATCCCCGAAACTCTTTACCGCTGCATTGGAAGATGTTTTCAAGCTTCTGGACTGGAAAGGATACGGTATCAACATCAATGGCGAGTACATCACTCACCTTCGATTTGCCGACGATATAGTCCTTATGGCAGGATCGCTGGAGGACCTAAGCACTATGCTCAATGACCTCTATAGTGTTTCCCAACGGATGGGTCTTAAGATGAACATAGACAAAACAAAGATCATGTTTAATGTCCATATCACACCTATGCCGGTAGTTGTTGGGAACACTAAGCTCGAAGTTGTTGACGAGTATGTTTACCTGGGACAAATAGTCCGACTAGGTAAGTCCAACTTCGGCCGAGAGGTCAATCGACGGATTCAACTCGGTTGGGCAGCGTTCGGGAAATTACGGCACATCTTCTCGTCAGTTATACCTCAAAACTTGAAAACGAGACTGTACACCCAGTGCGTGTTGCCAGTGATGACATACGGAACTGAGACGTGGTCCTTCACTGCTGCCCGGATGAAGAAGCTCAAGGTCGCTCAGCGAGCTATGGAGAGGGCTATGCTCGGAGTTTCACTGCGTGATAAACTCAGAAATGAGGATATCCGCAGTAGAACTAGAGTGAACGACATAGCCCAACTGAAGTGTGACAGCCATTGCCCTCCTCGCCTGAGGAGGGCAATGGCTGTCACATGTCATGTCATGCTTGATAACAAGAGTGCTTGTGGAGGCTGATCTGCTAGAGATCGCTATACACTGACCAAATTTTTAATCGTTTTTTTTAGTAATCTGTTTCTTTTCTGTATATGGTATGCTATATAAAATAAACTTTAAAAAAATTCCAAAAAAACATGGTACCGACGGAGTTTATTTCGACATTTCTTCTCCATTATATATATTATATTAGATCTCCTAATAAGCCCACTCTGCTGTAAGTTGGCGAGGAGTTGAGCTTATTGCAGATTCCAGATGATGTTTCAGCATCAGGTCAACGTTACATATTCTTGCAATATCATTGAAATAAAATTTCGAATCAATCAGACCTATGTAAAATGCTCTCATCCCCTAATCAACTACAAAAAATGTGACTTCAAATGATCTTCAAACTGCTAAACAGATTTTCCCAAATAACAGTTCTAGATCAGGACACTCTAGATCAGGTCACCATTCAACCAAAAAAAAACCAAACTAAATCGAAATCGGTTAATTCGTTTGGGAGCCACGATGCCACAGACAGACACACAGATTAAACTTATACAAA